AGACAAAGCCTAAGAGTAGATTTTGAATTTGAACAGAGGGATAACTTCCTTGGAAAGAGTCCATAGTGGTGACTTTTCCTCCCCTAGATATCTTATATGCTGGTTATTCTGTTTTCTGGGCCTCCTCCCAGCCAACTCCCTCTGCCCTGCTCTGGGAAGCTGACCTCAATGAACTACATTATCCAAACTACCTTGCCCCAGGCTTCTGTCTGGGTTTTGTCAATTGAAGGTACCAGCTGGAGACTAGAGGGCAAGAGGAGAAAGGTTAGGGCATTTATTTCTCTATCTTCCTGCTGCCTTGTCTAAATCCTTATAATGCCTGCTTAACACTAATAGCTATAGCTTCCTGCCAGACAGTCTCCCAAATTGTAGTTCTCACTGGGCCCTGGTAACAACACTCCCCTTTCTTACCCTTGAGGTAGGAGTGCTACTGATTCACCACTGTTTGGTTTCACCATTTCTTTTTAGTTTCTGTTAACAATGATCATATGTCTGTAAATCATCCTTTGGTTAAACTCTCTTTGATTAAATTCTTTTGAATCCACCAATTATTTTCCTATAAGGACTCCTGACTGATACACTAGGAAAACAATAAATGTCATGTTCTTCTCCTTTGTTCTTCCACTCATTAAATTTCCAGTGTCTTCAATCAAGTCTCCTTCCTCTCCTCTAATCTGATGCTTCCCATCTCTCCATGCCTATGTGGTATCCCAAGAAGTCTAAGGATTTGATTACCCACAGAGCAACGCTGCTGTTACTATTCTGCTGGAATTCCAGTAATATTGGCACTCTGTTGTCCTTGTAGTTCTAAGACTGGTTGGCTCTGTTAGTCTTAGCATCCTGGCAGGACAATAAACTCACTGCAGGGAAATTGAGCAATTGTAATCTCCAAACAAACAAATTTTAGCTCAAGAGAACCTTAGACTTTACCTTGGCTGAAGTGAAAGTCACTCAGTCATGTCTGACTCTTTGCAACGCCATGGACTGCATGTAGCCTGCCAGGCTCCTCTATGCACGGAATTCTCCAGGCAAGCATACTGGAGTGGGTAGTCATTCCCTTCTCCAAGGGTCTTCCTGACCCAGGGATCGAACCCAGGTCTTCTGCATTGCAGGCAGACTCTTTACTGTCTGAGTTACCAGGGAAGCCATTGATCACTCAGTCATGTCTGACTCTGTGTGACCCCATGGACTATAGCCCACCAGGCTCCTCTATCCATGGAATTCTCCAGGCAAGAATACTGGAGTGGGTTGCCAATGCCTTCTTCAGGGGAATCTTCCCAAACCATGGATCGAACCTGGGTCTCCCGCATTGCAGGCAGATTCCTTACCGACTGAGCCACCAGGGAAGCCTTTGCCTTGTGAGCACCTTACTTTACAGATGGGAAGGGTCAGGCTCACACAGGGAGACTCACGGCTATACAGCTGAAGACTTAAGCTCATCATCTAAACTCTGCCTGCTATTTCGCCAGGCTGTGATACTGCACTGGGTACCTAATGGGCACTCAACATGATTACTGACTCCTAAATTCATATGGGCTTTGCTTTGTTCAATACTAGGCTCCATGCCTCAATGAGTACCTGGTACATATGATGCACACAGCACATATTTATTGATTTTGAATCCAGGACACAGAAAGACAAGTTCCCTGGAAGTTATCAGAGCTCAGAGGGTCATTTGTAATAATGATAATAATCCCTTATACACCTAAAGAAAATGTATAGTTTTCAAAGTACTTTCCAATTTTAAAAAGCCCATTTGATCCCTCTGAGGTAAACACAGCAGGGATGCGTAGTCTGTTTAACAGATACAAGCAAACAGCCTTTGAAAGGTTCAAAGTCAAGGTCCCCTGACTAGTATGCAGCAGAGCGGAGACTCCTGTTCATGTTTTCTGACTCCCACTTCAATACCACCTCCACTACTCCACGTTGCTTCTTTAGCTTAGCCTTGCTGCTTCAAGAAAAGGAGTTGGGGGGTTCATTCACGGAGCTAGCCCAAATATTCACAATGACCAGGTGAATTATACACTTAGGCTGATAGAAATGATTTTGCTTTTTTAAAAATCCACTTAAAGGTACTTCTTCTATTCCACTTTTGATTAGATACAGTCTGCAGAATACCTCCAACTCGATACTACAAGGCTTGTTATTTCCCACAGAGAGGAGAGTTACCATCTATGTGGTCTGGAGTGAAGGAGACAGCACTTTTGAGACATCACTTTCAGTACAGACCAAAGTCAGGCCCTTTTAAAACCAAGTGTTCAGAGAAACAGCATCTTGTTTCTCAGCCTGACCCCACCAGAGAGGAGTTGTCACATGATTTCTTCAAGATAAAAATGCACCAAGAAGCCATCTGCAGTTTTTCTGATTGAATTCTCTTATAAAGAACACTTTAAAACAGACTTCACCCTGGGTTTTAACTACTAGTATGATCTCTGATCCTAATCAGGGTATCACAGAAACCAAAGATAACGTAAACATATATCCAGCCTCTTTGGATTTTAGTTTCCATTAAGAGCTCAGAGTAGTGGTACAGAAAATTACCCAAAATCTTACATCAGGAATTACAGACTCAAATGCCTCCCAGGCACCAGGTAAATAAAGTAAAATCCAGTATGACAAAATAAGGAATAATGGAGTCTACTCAGTGCTTTTTTGGGGGGCCATTACTTGTGGCACGCAGGATCTTAGTTCCTGGGCCCATTCCCCCTGCATTGGGAGCAAAGTCTTAACCACTGGACCACCACAGAAGTCCCTGGAGTCTATATAAACTGTAGAAAACTAATTTGCTAGTTGCTTCTGAGCTCCAACCACCTGTCATTTTCTGGGTACATGAGTTAACAGCTTTTCCACACCCCCACCCACCGCAGGAAATATGCATTTTTTAAATGTTAAATATTTTTTAAAAGTTAGTTACTAATTCAAAAATGCAAGTCTTTGTAGGCTATCAGCCAGAGTTTGACTTTTGCTTATGGAGTAGGTTTCCAGCTCCATATGAGAGAGGAATGATAGCAAACACGCCACTTTCAAGTCAAATACGGCATAGGATTCACGGCTTCCTTCTCAGAGACTCTGTGGACAGTGCTGGAAAAGTGGACAGAAAACTCCTCGAGTTAGTAGGAATGTACCTTGACTGGGGGTCTGGGGGATATCTGTTTTATTAACTAGACAAACGGATACCCTCTGGAAGGAATCTGCGGGGGAAGGTCCCCTCTGCTAGGTATCTGGGCAGATAAGTCTCTGAAGCATCTAGGAAACCCATATACTCCAGTATTGGGATGGGGAGGACTGGGAGAACAGTTTACAAGAAGTATAAAGACAGACAGCTACTGGGAAGTATAGAGTGCGATATGACGGGCACCATCTCTTCAGTCTTGGGAGGGAGAAGGTGATAACCTCTCCTCGGGCGCCCCCTTCGGGCGCCTCTTTCTCACCATCGCGCCGCAGCCGTCGACTCCAGAGAACGACCGCCATCTTAACGCACCTTTCTGCGCAGGTGCCCGGGAGCCCCACGAACCAGCCCAGAGAGACCCCGCCTCCCGCCACACCGCTCCGCCCCAAGCCCGCCGCCAGCCACGCCCCCTTTTCCAGAGCGCTGCTCTTCCCCTAGGAAAGGCTCCTCCGCTTGTGACTGCGGAGAGGAGGAAAGAGCCGCTGGTCTAAATCTGTCATTATATTAGAAAGTCATCACAGCTTTCCACACTTTACTGGAATTACCAGATCCCAAAGGCTGCTACAAGAAAATTTATTACAGACTAGTCAATAATTTCTTGAAACAATGGCACATAGAATTTAAAACAGCAAAGATGCTTCGTTTCTTGTTTCATGTAATGGCTAATGCAGAGTCCTCAAGAAGTACAAGAGGCTGCTATGAGGATACTGAAGGATCATGTCACATCTCTGAGCAAGGGCCTGGGAAGTCCGCATGACTCCCTGGGAGTGTTGAGCCCCCTCCCCCGCTGCTCCCCATCCCCCCCAATCCAACCTGTACCAAGGGATCATAGTCTAAGTTCCTTCTGTAGAGTTGAATGGTTTATGAGGGGGACAGCAGCTGACCTAGATGAAAGGGGACAAAGGCTAGATTCTGTCTGCAAGGGGAAGGACCACCAGAAGGCAGTGGCCATAGGTGAACAGGACTCCTTCTAGACTGATTTCCACAATTTTTGGCTTTGTTCAGGGTTTATCTATGAAGAAGCCCTCTCTCCTGGATTCTTCAACTAGCTCTCAGATATGTATACTTAAGAGCCTTTCATATCCTGAAGCATCACTCCCCTTCCTAAAGGAGTGAGGTAGGGAGACTCCTGGGCAGGTGGCCCCTGGTGCTTGGGTTCCAAAGAAATTCTGCACAGGCCTCTGAAGCACCATGTGAACCTGGTTCTACTCATGACAGCTAGTCTGGGGGAAGGGACGAGCGTAGCTCATTGCTGAAGGTATCTTGTTCAGTCTCAATGCCCTGTACTCACTTGAGCCACTCTACACTGCTGGGTTCTGCTCAAGGGATGGTCTGCATTCAATTCTGTGTGTTCCTGCCCTGGCCATACTCCAGTTCAGACTACAGGGCTCAGCAGTACCTGTAGACTCAATGGATTACTGACCTAATTAGGCACAAGCTCCAGGCCCCCTAAACGTGTTCCTCTGATGATTGGTACATATGGATCTAACTGGATTAGGTGTGGTATGGAGAGGGGGAGAAAAGGGTGTGGGAGTGAAGGATCTCTACCAAGAATGGCTGACACTTTCAGAAATGTCTGCCCCTCTGTGAAAAATCTCCCTGTGTGGTAAGCCCCACAGCCCAGCTCGTAGCACCACAGACCTGCTGGTCAGGGATTCAGACCCTTTCTGTGAAAAGCCACACTCACACCACCCTAGATTTTTCCTTAAATGTTCCTAACTGAATGAATCAGCCTCTTGACTGTGAGGATCTAAGATGACTACGTAGTGAAGTCCTATTATCCCTGACTTGTGGAACTGGTGCCCTCTGGTCGGCACAGGAGCCTGGGTGCTCAGCTCCCCTCCTCCAGGGAACGAGACTCCGATTTGAGCTTCACAAACTCCCGGGCCACTTCGTCGTTGCTCCTCTGAGACAGAATCCGGAGAATAGTCATGCCTGTCTCATCCATGTGGATCTTCCGGCCCAGGGGGCACCAGCAAGCACAGCTGCCCTTGGCTGCCACATCCCTCAGAGGCATCACAGCCAGCCCCAGCACACGGTCCTCCCGTGCAAAGCAGTAATCCTTCACACATATTTGCAACTCATAGGCTTCTGGCCCCTCTTCATTTCCCAGGAGGCTGTGAGCACAGGGTAGATGGAAGATAGGAGACCAGAGATGAGGGCGTCCTCAAATGAATTCACCCCAGCCACCATCTAGCCCATCCCTTCTCTCCTCTTAATTCTTACTCCACAGATCATCCCCATCCCAAAGTCCTCCAGATTCCCAACCATAACTTACAAGTGAAACGTCTCGTTGTACTTGGGAGCCCAGTTGTTACTTTTTGACTTGGTTGTGAACTTCCTCTTTTTATCACTTTGGTGAGGGCCAACCATGGTGACTTCCACAAAGGGCCGGAACATACCTGCTGTCTGCCACTTGAGGTCATTGGCAGCCACCACTACACAAACATGGAAACCTGTGAGGCAACCCATCACGCATTCCCAGTTCTTCAGCCCCCAGCTGGGATTCCCCTTGGAGAAGGGCTAAGCTGAAGGGTCGGGATAAGCAGTCCCTGCCTGACTGATAGGGCCACTGGGCAAGAAAAGGTCTCAAGCCTGTGCATCCATGCCACTCACCTTTCACTGTGACCTTGTGCTCCCCAGTTCCAGGATGTGTAAACAAGTCCACATGAATAGAGACTTCTCCCACAGGATCATCCACACCGGAGCCTGGCAGGCAGAGGGACAGATGGTTCCCTACTGGAGAACTGGAAGACTTTACACCCAGTTACTCCAGGTAAAACCAATAGCTGGGAGGCTACTATTCTACACCCTAAAGCAAGAAGCAGTCACCCACAGAAGCTATGGAGATGTGAGCCATGGGGAAAGGAAAAGAAAGGAGATGAAGAATGAGACTGTGTATTAAAATACAAGTCAGGGTGACAACATTTTAGGTGAAACTTCTTCCAAAACTACAACTGGAATCTCTCAGTTTCTCCAGACTTATCTCCTGGGCTGAAGAATTTTTCATTGAAAGACGTTGAGAAAGGACAGTGCCGCCATCCTATATTTTGGTGTGAATATTGTGCCACCCTGCGGTTTCTCAGCAGAACAATACGGGTCCCGTCTAGCCCAAAGCAGCACCTTCCCACCTATGGGCTGCCCTGCATGCAGTGACTTCTTCCTACTCAAACCTGGGCCTCTCCACACACAGCTCCCCAGTGCCCCCTGGCAGTCTGCAGGCACCCCTCAGTAGAGGCCTCACTCTATTTGGGGAAAACCCCAGTACCCTACACTCCAGATAAAATTTATTTTTTGTCCTCAGATGGAGCAGTGGGGGAATTCTGAAGACAACTATTGTTAACCCCGTCTCGGACTGTACAAATACACTGCCCATCTCTGAGACTTGGGATAGAACTTTTGACCTTTGACATCTGGTTCCCTCAGCCCCACCTTAAGCAGCTCATTCTAGTTCACAGGCGACAGTGTTAGCCCGTGTTCGATTCACATCTGCAGATGTATAACGTACCCTTTTCCGGCTGAATGTCCTCATTGGCAGTAAACCTAATACCTTTCCCATCGTGCACTAAGTGAGGACAGGCAAGCCAAGAGGCAGCAGCGGCAGGACAGAGAGAGAAGAATCAGTTAGAGCCCAAGAAGTCCACAGGCATCCAGAGCAGCGCTACACTTATTCCGAAGGAGCACACAGATGGAGCAGGGTGGAGAGAGACTGGGGCCAGTGACTGCTCCAAACTATATTTAACAGTTTGCACATCACAGACAAGGCAGTAGAACATACAGTTTTCTGAGACCGGCGGGACACAATAGAGAAAGCTCTAGGCCCTAATTTCCTAGGCTCTAAATAACAAAGCAGTGGGTGGAACACACACACACACGACTGCAGACTCCCTATGGTCACCACCCTTGCCTGGTCTTACTTCCTAGGTGCCCACTCTAGCCTCGCCTCATCTTTATATCTAGCTCAAAGCTCAGTGTCTCTGAAAAGCCTTTTAGATTAACTCCTAGCCTCTCTGATGTTATGGGCCTTTACACATACTCAACTCTGTGAAAGATCCCCCTGTCTGCTGAGCAAGGCTCATAACTTCTTTTGCTCTTTCTTCTCACTCTGGACTTGAAATAAGAATACACATGGAAAATGAAACAGTACTGCAGGTCCCCCTGCATTTCTTCACTTTCCATCAACCCCATCCTAACTACTTAGATGCCCTCCCTCTTCCCATCCGGGTCAGTTCACAGCTAGGTAAGGCTTAAGCCTTCCCACCTCCGGCCCCCTGCCAGGTTCACTCTTCCAGGCAGCATGCCTAGGTTTCCCTGGAAGGAGTAATTAATGATTGCACCTTGAAGGTCCTTCCCAGGAGGACCTCCTCAGGGTCAGGGTCTGAATTTCAGTCTAAGCCATGTTTGTGCAGATGTGTTTTGTTTTGGATGGGCCTGCCTGGAGACAGGGAGGGGACCTGAGAACTGGAAATCGTGGGGAGAGAACCAGCTGCCTGGGTGCCCCGTGCACTAGCATCACCCACGAGGCTGGAGCCTCAGGTCTGTACAGCCCCGTGATCTGCACCCTCCTTTCAAGTGCTCCCACGGATCACCCCCTTAGTCTTCTTCTCATCCACACTGGAGAATCTGGGAAATCTTTGGCTCCCAAAGCTATAAGACTTCGTGAGTATCTTAACCACTCATTCTCAAGGCTTTCTCACACATTTTCCCTATCAAACAGGGTATACTCCTTGAGCTCAACACACAGGCACTGGCCAGATGATGTTGGGAAATGAAAGCTCAGGCACATCTCCCAGGTCTCTGGGATTCCTATCTGGTATGAGTCTGGGGTAGGTAGGGGTAAGGACTGGGGTCCATCCAGAAAATCCTGACGTCTGTGTGTGAAGGGCTTTCTGAAGAAGTGCCTAGAGCGTCCCTGAGGGCCACTGGAGACTGACTCCCTAGGGGCAGAGACATCTCGGAGGGGCGCGGGGACCCGAAACCCTTGGGCCTTACCCTGGGCAGTCTGTGAGCGCACAAAGGTCTTGATGAGAGTGTCTGTGGTCTGTGTGTACAGAGACAGGGCGTAGCGCAGGGACTGCAGATCTGGGCTCTTCTCCAGGAAGGCTTTCTTCAGCCCGTTGCCTCCGGCATGAAAGTATTGCTGAAAGACAAGAATAACCGCTACTGCGTCATCCCCCTTCAGAGAGGCAGCTCCCCAACAATGTCCTCAGAGAAAGGACATCCAAGCAGAGGCTGGCAAAGATGCCAGAAGAGGACAGGGGGTCATTCAATAAGCAAGATCAGGAATGCCACACAGAGCCAGGGGCTCGGTCTCTCAGGTGCAGAGTCTTATGTGAGTATCTCGCAGGAGTGGTAAGGGATGGCCACGCTTCTGGATGTGATGTCTGATGGATGAATCTACATGGACAGGCACAGAAATGCGATAGAAGCTTTTTAGGCAGAAGCTTTTCAGTCAGAAGTGGTGCTTTACCCTTGGGAACCCTTAGAGCACTTTATACCTGTGATATACCTCTCTCCCTAGTGCCCTGAATCACAGCCCATGTGTACCTGCTTTATTACCACCTTATACCAGATGATAGTCTGGTCACTACCAAATTATACCAGATTATAAGTATCCTGATGCAGGAACCATATCTGATTCTCTCTGCATCCTTCCTAGTGTATAATGCCTGGACACATGTTGTCTGGTTGAATAAATGAATGCATAGTCGGGGGGAAAAAATACCCTTTGAAACCCGAATGATTTTAAACATAAATGAAGAGGTTAGCCTGATCTGGGATATTGGATCTGGAAAGATTCCCAGTGGGAAATATTCCAGAATGACAATGAGGTTACTAAGTGAACTAAAGTGTCCTCAGAAGCCAAGAACAAATCTTCTAGGTCTTTGGTGATTCACCTGAGGCCACACAGAAGGTACAATTTTGGTTGCTCCCAAGAGGAATGTGGATGTAACAGAGAAAGACACAGACACAAAAACCACTCTGTCCTGGATGTGGGGTGGCAAGAGCCCGAGGGGACCCTAATCTGGCAGAGTGGAATGCCAGGACCAAGAGGGTAGGGCAGGAAGACAGCCTGGAGGAGGGGCTCTCCACCTTGATGGTGTCCAGGGCGAGGTCAAGGGTGGCACACTGCTTTGGCGTCAGATTCCGTGTTTCCTCTCGCACCATGTGGTCCTGGAGCCCCAGAGAAAGCAACATCAGGATAGCTTGGGGCTGTCATGAAGTCCCCCACTTGTCAGCCCACAGCTGCATGCCCCTCTCCTTCTCCTCCTCTTCAGTCTTCAGAGCTCAGATGTCCCCCCTCCAGGCAACCCCTGCCCCTCCCACCTGGTTGCAGAAGGACCCCACGTATCCAGAGCACCTTGAGTTTGGAAAGCTGGCTCAGCTCCTTGGCAGCAGTGAAGATCAGCTGGGTGCCCTGGGCAGAGAGAATCATTCAAAGCAGAGAAGTGCAAACCCCATCAGGAAGCAGGGAGCCGGGTAAGGGACACAGCAGGTGGAGGTGGAAAGGAGCTGTCCTCACCGTCTGGTCGGTGAGTGGAGGCAGAACAATCGTCCTTTCCATCGTGTTCATTACCACCCGCCAGAGCTCCTTCAGCACCCGCTTCAGGACCGTCTTCTCACACACAGCGGCAAAAAGCGTGAGGCTGCAGGGCCAGGCCGCGGGTCAGGAAGGGCTGAGTGCTTGAGAGACCCCTCCCTGAGCAGCTCCTCTGACTGCCTCTGCCTGCTTCGTCCCCACAGGAAAGCCCTGGGTACTGTACTCACTTGCCGTCCAGGAAGTCCATGAGAGGCCGGAGCACACTGTCCGCATCCTGGGTCACCGAGGCCCGTGTGTTGGGGGATGCGTTCCCTGGGCCCCGCACCTGGCTCAGGATGTCAGCCATTTGTCGAACGCACTCATCGATCCGCACCTGGAAACTACACATGCGCCCACAGTGCAGCCCTCCTTGGTCCCTGCACACACTGGCCCTCAAGCAGCTCCGGCGGCTCGGTCCCGCTCTGGCACACACACGGTGCGGCTCCGACAGCGCAGGCCAGCAGGAAGAGGGGAAGGTGCACAAGGGTGAGGCTGGGTGGAGGCCGGTGGGGCAGGGGCTCCGGGACTGGCCAGGCACCACGCTTGGCTCTGAGGGCTGGGTGTTCTGGGGCCACTGACCTGTTTCCAAACACCATGCTGAGCTCATCCAGAACTGCATTCAGTTTCACCTGAAGCTCCTTCAGACTGTCTGCAGTCTCAGGGTCCAGCTGCATCCAAAGGAGGCAGGCTTGGCTCAGCTGGTTCTCTTAGGCCTTTCTTCCCTCCTGTGCCCCGACCCCTCCCTCTGAGGGCCTCTACCCCAATGCCAACTCAAATCTCTCAGCTCAAACCAGTACAAACCCCAAGCTAAACTTTAGGTCCAGACCCGGTCAGGAGAGGGCAGAGTTCTACGGCTGAGGAGCTCGGGAACAAAGGAAGAATGCGGCAACCCTGGACCTCAGACCTACCTCCTTGCCTCCCATGGCCTCAAACATCTTCTCCAGCTGCACCCTCAGCTGCTGCATGTTGTTCATCAGGATGCAAGGCTGTGGGGACAGACGGAAGTGTTAAGTCTTGGCTCCATTCAGCACAGAACAAAGTCTAGGACCCCTGCCTCTCTCACATGACTCCAAAAACCACAGGGAATTTACAGCATGTGTTATACCCATCTCTCCCTAAGCACTGAGATCTGGAAGCAATACTGACAGCTCTCCTTAAATGAAGACTAGAAGCAAATGTTTCTGCTTTAATCCTGAATGGGGGGAGCCCCAGGTGTTCATGGGATTACCCTTTGTAACTCTCTGACTATATTTAAAAAAAAAAGAAAGAAAGAAAGACTAAGCAAAGGTCTAGCTTATCAGAGGATAAATTACCAAATGGAGGCTCAAAGGAACTCCTTATCAGGTTCTTGTTATTTTGTGGCATAATCTCAAGCACAGCCCTGCTGGGAATCACAAGTCAGGAGCATCACCCCACCCTCAGCTCTGAGGATAGTTTCAAAAGCAAAAAGCCTGGCCCTCACCATTTTCTCCTTTGTGCAGTAAGCTGGGAAGTTCTTTGATAAGATGTCTGCATATTCCATGAGCACCTTCCCGATGGTCTGAGAAGAAAGGGGAAGAGGAAGGAGACGGGACCCTTAGCTTTCCCCATGAGGATCGCACCTGGGGTCACACATCTCCCAGAACAGTAACAACATGTACCTAAAGAGGAATCTCAAAGTAGGGGACCAATCTCCCTCTCTACCCCACTGAAACAAACCCACCTGTCTGCCCCAGATTCAAGTAAAGGAGCATGGGGTGACGCTGGGCTGTACCCAAAGGCCATCAGAAAGGGGGGTTGATCTCAGGTCTGTAGATAGGCCGTGAGTATAATGGAGTAAGGGGAAAAGGGTAGGAGGGTCATGGTACCTTAGCAAATCTCCTCATGTAGTGGGCAAGGATGTTGGGGTCTGGGCATTCCAGTTTCCGGATGATCTCAAAGCTCTGATTGAGCTGTGTGAAGACGTCCACCACAGAGCAAGAGAAGAGTGCGTGCTCTGATGTCTGCTGGAACTGAGGAAGGCCACACACAGCGTCATCATCTGCAGCTGCGAACTCGTCCCACGTCTGTCAGGCCCCGAAGGGCTCTCCTGCACAGCAGGGGTGGCACCACGACCCTGGACAGCCCTCCTGACGGGCTCCACCAGGCGGGGACGGCCATCCCGGCTAGCGCCCAGGCACTCCTGCCGACAGCTAATTGCTGGGAGACCCGGCTAGACACCTGTGAAGTTCAAGTCCCTGACTCACCCCATCCTTCTTATCTCGTTCCAAGGCCCCACGCAGGAATTCCAAGGACACATCCTCATTCTCGTCCAGCCACTGCAGGACAAACTGCTCAAACCACCTGCAGCCAGGCAGGAAGACGGAGCGGTTGGAGCTGGTGCTGGCAGCTGCCACGTGCCTGGCAGCAGGATCCTGGCAGCGCCCAGCCCCTGAGCCCCCCTTCCCTCGCAGCCCCCACGTGATGACTCACGCCGGGTACTCGGGCACCTGGCCCTGGAGGGCAGGCAGATCCCGCACGTATTCATTGTGCAGCCACTTGACCTTGAAGTGCAGGTTCATGTAGTCGGCGCTCTTGCACAGCCTGTCCTTCTCATGCTCTGCTCGGAGGAGGGAGGCGGGGTCAGGTACCGCAGCGTGGGCCATGCTTCCTGGGCTTTCCCACGGCAGATCCAGCTGGCCAGCGCTACCAGATGTCTTAGAAGGAGGGGGGCTTCCCAGCACCTCCCCACAGCCATCTCCCCCTAGCAGTGAGTATTCTGCTAAAAGCCTGACCCAAATCTTCCTTCAGAGGCTAAGTCAGACACCCAGATAAGGCCCACAGTCTTCCTGTGTTGGCTTTTGGAAGTGCAAGTGAGATGCCGGCCACTGGTGAAGAAGAGGAGAAAAGGACATGGGCACTAAGGCTGACCAGTGGGGAAACGGCCCAGGACGTGAGAGCGATGACGCTTTACTTTACACTTCGTCTTCCAGGGCTTTACTAATCCTAGTAGCTGAGCCATTTCCTCAGATGGACTTAAATGCAGAGATGAGCAGTCACACATGGGTTACTGACAGCCACACAGAGACAGGGAAAACCAGTGGGCCCGCGCTAACAGAAAGAGCAGTTGAGCAGCCACAGTGGACACAATCCCGAGGTAAACTGAACGGTCCCAGAGCGGAGCTGAAACACTGGAAAATGAACTCTCGGAGAAGTATGCAAATAAGTCAGTGTGGAAACCATGGAAACACAGCCAGATGAAAGAGCCATCCGCTACAGGAAATGGGATGCTTATGTGAAAGGTTATACAGACAAGTCTGCAGAGGCTTCTGGGAAATCTAGGGTAAAGATCACCAACAGCTTGCCCAGAGAGTCTAGAGCACTGGCCACACCCACAGGTTTTCTTCATCTACCCCCTTTAGAGATGAAGCATTAATTTTGTTTGAATAATAAAAGCCAATTGTGTGCTTACATATAACATAATGGTGAAAGCAAGCAAAATGGGGAGAATGCTGAGTGACAGGGAGGGGAAGGCTGCTGTCCTTGGGAACACTACCACTCAACTCCGAGTTGCCACGGCTGCTGCTCCTCCATGTCAGACAGAACAGCCAGCTGCCCTTGTGAATCAGAACAGCAGACGCCCAGGGAGGAAACCCGAGTCTGGGATTCAGCCTCAAGAGGCTCCTTTGTCCCAGGAATGTCATCTCCCGGCACTGCAGGCAGCACCGCCTCAACCCGAGGTTGCATTTGCAGACTCTTCTATGGCAGTGAGCCGGAGAAGAGGAAAAAGGAGTAAGGCTACAGGTAAAGAGACAACAACCAAAAGTGCTTACCGCCCAGAAAGAGGACTTTTCGTATGCGAATGGCAGTGCAGGCTTGTGACGAAGCAGAGACCCAACAGGCAATACAGAAAGTGAACGAGTCAGGGAAGCCAGAGACCCTCCCTGGGCCGCCCCGTCCTCTCCCCGCTGCTGTCCTTAAACCAGGCCTAAGAACCTAGAAACTAAGAAGGAACCACCTGGAGGGCCCGCTCTCCTTTCTGGTCAACAGCCCACTGGGACAGGGGGCAGTGCTGCTCCATCCCTTCAGCGCTCCCAGATTCTTTTCTTCTAGGCACCTTCAAGCTACTGCATTTGCAGAGAAGTCTCACTTGCTCTGTCAATCCATAATCTGTACGCTGGCCTCAATCCTTAATTTCTAATTAACTTCTGTGGTACAAAACCTAACAGGATGAATGATGAAACACTGACCACACTTTATTCTAACAAGCCTCATGGAGTCATGCTCCAGTAGTTACTTGAGGCTATTGTTGGGGGGCAGGGGTGTTAGAGGGTGGTTGATCTGTTAAAAAGGGGCAATTGAGTAGCTCAACCTTCTCCTGCCCCTGACTTCCATGTTCCTCCCTCCATTCATCTTTCTCCTTGGAGAGTTCTTTCAACCTCGTGATTTCAACTACCAGACTGCTGACGTCTCCCCCAGATCTCTCTCTGGTTCTGATAATGTCTGTACGAGTCTTTGATGGAACATCTCACTTTGCCTGAGTTTAACTCCAGTCACCATCTTTTGCTATCTTAACATCTCCAGCTGAAGGTGAACATAGTATACACATGAATCTCACCCTCTTGTTCAATACTGAGCATCACCTTCAAGTCTTCCTTCTTCCTATCTATTCACATACATTTAACCCACCAATGCCTGTTAATTTCACCTCTAAAACTTCTCTGGAATTTATCCATTTCTTTATAGTCACACTTGTACCTGTCTAGGTCTCATCACCACCATCTCCAACCTGGATTACTATAATAGTCTCCAAACTGGTCCTCCTCCAACCTATTCTCCGTACGGTAGCCAGAGTAAGTGGCTTTTCTATATTAAAAATGTGGTCATGTTAATCCCTTGTTTAACCTGGGTTGCTGTTCAGCGGCTCTCAACTGCCTCAGGATAGAGTCCAAAATCCTAAATATGGCTTAAAACCTCCTGTATGTTCTAGCTGTATCCTGCTTCTCTGTCTTCACCTCTCACTCATCTCTTCCCCTACACTCTGAAGTGTTAATCACACTGAACTGCTGCATCCAGTTCCCGAAGCATGCCAGCTCTCTCTAGAACCCAAGCCTCCGAATATACCGTAACCTCTGCCTAAAATGTCTGTCTCTCCCTTCCCTGTCACGAATGCCTTCCCTCCCCGCCAGCCAAGTTCTGTCATCCTTCAGGTGTCAGTCAGTATATCACCTCCTACAGAAAGCCCTCCCATGCTCTTTCCAGGTCTGGGTTATACAATTCTCAGCACCCAATTTTTATTCCCGTGGGAGCACTTAAGTTTGAACTGTAACTGCCAATTTATAGGTCTGTTATCTAGACTGATCTGAGCTTCTCACCGGCTAGGACTATGCCTCATTTATCTCACTGGGGTTCCAACAACTAGCACAGTATGTGGCACAAAGAATGTACTCAATATGCTTGGTGAACAGGGTGGGGATTTACTGAAGAGACTTTCTGTTCTGTATCCTAACTGGGTCAGCAGTTACACAGGTGTACTTATTTGTCAAAACTCATCAAATTGTACTCTTAGAGTGTTATTTTATTTTATGCATATTATACCTCAATAAAGTTGACTTTCAAAAGGCTGAGTGAATGGTAGCATTTTAACAGCAGCAGTCAACACTATCCTTTTATCAACCAGATCTCCAAACCCCTCCCCTTCTCTTGCCCTTCACCATTCTGACAGTCACTAAGCTTTCCTTCAGATGTCTATCCAAGCCCATTCTTCGTCTAAGTTCTCTGCTATAATTCCAGCCCACCCCCCTGCCATAAACGATCACATTGTCTGCACCCAGCTTCCAGTCTCTCCCTGTTCTGCCTGCCCCCATTTTCCACTGAAGTAAAATCTTATAAAAATACTACTGTGTTAACACTCCATCTCTGCTCATGAGCCTTTAATAAATGTCAGGCAGTATGCTAAGTATGTCACATACATCTCAGCCACTTCATTAGTGAAATAGATGCCATCATCACTCCCATTTTATAGATGAAAAAAAAAATGGGAGCTCACAAGAGTTAAGTAGCTTAGTCTAAGAACACACTGTGTAGTAAGTGGTAAAACAGATTTGAAACCAGGTCAACATGAGTTCTTTCTTTAAAGCAGTTTTCAACTCTTTTATGTTTATTTTAAACATCAGCAGAATTCCTCTTTTGAAAGAAATTTCATTTAAAGCCTCATATAAAATTGATAAAAGCAGAGCTGACTTAGCAGGCAGCAGGTAGAAGTCCTGGAGCCCAGCACCGCACACCCCTCTCCTGCCCCCACCTCCACCCTGCTCTTGCCGTTTCCCCTTTTTACTTATTTCCTCTGTTTGAAAAACCTCTGCCCAGCCTTACACTCTTCCTCCTGTGGAATCAATACACTTTTCACAGGTACCTGTCTTCCCGCCCCCGCCCCCCACCAAATCCACTAGAGCTGGAGTTCTTTAAGAACTGGGGCAATACTCCCCATCACACTCACCACGTGCTGCCTGGGGGAAAGGGACATGTGACTAAGTCAGAGGCCAGACCGGCTAAGGCATGGGCTGCAGCCCCAGGCATGACCCAGCGTGGACAGGAGGCAGCCTGCTCCGGGGAAGAGTTACAGAACGTGCCCGGACAGCTCGTGACTGTCTCAAACTAAGCACAGATCTGCAAGGTTTCTTTCAACCTCAAAACGTACTGCTCCTGAACCTCAAACGTGTAAAAGTCTGAGAGGGTTACCCGTTTCCTCCCACCCTACCCAAATAACACACGCAGACTCTGGTTTGTCCTTGCTCCAGACTGCTCCCCCTCCATCCAGGTCCACTATTCACAGACTGAGGAGACGACTAGCGTAGCATACAGCGACAGGAAATGCAGCCAAGTGAGTGAGCACAGATGGGGAGAAACAGGAAGGTCTGACACAGGTAGGGAGTGATCTCTTTGTGGGCCAAAGTGGGAAATGAACAGAAGCATAAGCAGAATGAACAAGATGAGTAATAACTGGTTCCATGGAAGAAGTGAAGGAAGAAGTATCTTTCTGGGTTTGTCATGCCAGTCTAGAACAACTTTCAAAGAAAGTCAGGCCAGGTAGTCTATGGTGTGAGAAAATAATCTTATCTATGTATTTAAAGTTTCATGATTCTGTAAAACTGTAAAGGCAAGTGTCATAAGACTATCCCCTAGGGAGTGGGCCACTTGAGAACAGCTAGCATGGGAAGAGTTGATCTCTGGGCTGGGAAAGTGTGAAATAGGCACTTCCTCTGGAGCTGGAAGGAGGAACCTACATCCACACAGCAATTTCCATTACTCCTTTGGCTGAAGCTTTACCTACCCAAGGTCTCCTGAGGCCTATCACCCACTATGCCTAGAATCCCTCTAGTTTCTCACTGAACTATTCACCTAGAACATATAGTTGTCTGGGAGAATACAGGGATGGCAAATAGGTGCTTTGGCTAGGGGTTTGCAGCCCACTGCCATGGGCACACCCTTACCCTCCAGTGCATATTTCATGTCTTGGGCAAAGAGTTGCCACATCACTTCTGCGCTGACTTTTCCCACATTCAACTCCTGGGGAAACCTGGATGATGGAAGAAGACACAGTCAGAGAATACGGCAGAGGCATTTGATTTGATTAATTCTAAGGCCAATAGGACTAGTTCTTGAAGGTCAGATTGAAGACAGGAGAAGCCTAGGAAACAGGGCCAGGCTCCAACTGAAGAATAAGGACCCAGGGCCAGTGGTAGGCAGAGGGACACATTGGGGCAGAGGATCCCCTCAGGCAAGGTGGCCCTATGGGAGATGATGCCTAGAAGGCAGGGAACTCTGGCCAGGAGGAGAAGGGTTGAGGCTGAAAGACAAGCCCAGGCTAAATAACCTAGCAGAAGGAGCAAAAGTTGGGCATCAGAAGGCTCTCTTTATTTACAGTGGACAGACACATGCACGCCTGGTCTCTGGATCCCCAGGGACGCCGAGGGCAGCCACTCCCAGAGGTCTTTCTCCAGGGAGGCTGGCTCAGTCTGGGCGGGGCACCTCATTATGTTTCCACACCTGTCTCCAGAAAGAGTTACCCAGACAGATACAAGGGACAGAGGGACAGATGGACGAACAGGAGGAAGAGGTGGCACTGTGAACACACAGAGACAGGAAAGAAAGAGGCTGTTAGACAAGGGGACAAACCAACCACCAAACAGAAACGCCAAGTGAGGCGACACTTACTGGTTCAGAACGAGGGTGTAGGAATTCTTATCTTCCTCTATGATTGACACAATGAGCGTGATGAGTTTGGGCCAGAAATCCAGGTTCCTAATGCTGGGCCCCTGTTCCTCTGGAGGCAGCTCCTGATTCTTATTCCCGAGAAGATGGTGAAAGACAGTGAGAGTCAGAGGAGAATATGGAGAGTCTTCCTCTCTCCCTTCCCCACACCATGCCCCATCCTTTAGAATCGGGCACCCTTCCTCTCCTATACCCTGTCTTCCACAAGACACCACCGCCCGTTCTATCAGAGCGGTGACTACTGGGACCACTTGAACAGAAAGAAGCTGTCCCTGAGAACTTCTCTCCCAAGCTTCAGAGCGCTGCTCTAATAAGCTTGATCAGTCCAGGAGACATAAAGATGCCTGGCTCCCTTCCTTCTTCCCCCAGTAGCTATGAGCATAGTGAATTCCTGGTTGAAGTAAACAGCCCCTTCAGTCTAAATAGGTCTAGTTCCACGTGATCCCCACTGGCAGTTCTATTCTAGTGGTGGCCCTCCTCTGACATCACCCACTGCCCCACCACACACAAGTACATCTCAGCTCTGAGACGTTCCTTCAAGTTCTGCAGGAGCTACAGAACAGATCCAGCATGCAGGCTGGCCCAGCCCTCAGGGAAGCAAAACTTCCCTTAGCCTCCTGAAAGTCATTAGGGCGAAGAACTGCATTTGGAAGTTATTTGCCTGGCTGGATAAGAAAAAGCCTCGGGGGGCCAAGAATATTCAATGCGGAAAGGATAGTCTCAAATAAATGATGTTGGGAAAACTGGATATCCACAAGCAAAAAAATGAAATTGGACCCAGATCTTATATATCAGCCACAGAAACTAATGCAAAATGGATTAAGGACTTAAATGTAAGACCTGAAACCATAAAACTCCTAGGAAAAAAAAACATGGAAAAAGCTCCCTGACAGTCATTTTGGATATGACAACAAAACCAAAAATCAAAAAGTAAGACTATACCAAACTAAAAGGTTTCTACACAGCAAAAGAAACAACAAAATAAAAAGACAATCTACAATTGGTGGAAAGTATTTGTAAAGCACCTATCTGATAAGGGGTTAATTCCCCAAATAGATAAGGAACTCAAACAACTCAACAGCAAAAAGCAAAACAAACAAAAACCCCAAACTGACAAAAAAAATGGAAGAAGACTTAAACAGATATTTCTCCAAAGGAAACACACTAATGCCCAACAAGTACATGGAAAAGTTTTCAATATCACCAATCACTGGGGATGTGGATGTGACTGGTGATGGAAGTAAAGTCTGATTCTGTAAAGAGCAATACTGCATAGGAACATGGATTGTTAGGTCCACGAATGAAGGCAAATTGGAAGTGGTCAAACAGGAGATGGCAAGAGTGAACATCAACAATTTAGGAATCAGTGAACTAAAATGGACTGGAATGGGTGAATTTAACTCATGACCATTATATCTACTACTGTGGGCAAGAATCCCTTAGAAGAAATGGAGTAGCCATCATGGTCAACAAAAGAGTCTGAAATGCAGTACTTGGATGCAATGTCAAAAATGACAGAATGATCTCTGTTCATTTCCAAGGCAAACCATCCAACAGCACAGTAATCCAAAGTCTCTGCCCAGACCAGTAATGCTAAAGAAGCTGAAGTTGAACGCTTCTATGAAGACCTACAAGACCTTCTAGAACTAACACCCCCAAAAGATGTCCTTTTCATTATAGATGACAGGAATGCAAAAGTAGGAAGTCAAGAAATACCTGGAGTAACAGGCAAATTTGGCCTTGGAGTTCAGAATGAAGCAGGGCAAAGGCTAATAGAGTTTTAACAAGAGAACGCACTGGTCACAGCAAACACTTTCTTCCAACAACACAAGAGAAGACTCTATACATGGATATCACCAGATGGTCAATACCAAAATCAGACTGACTATATTCTTTGCAGCCAAAAATGGAGAAGCTCTATACAGTCAGCAAAAACAAGACTGGGAATTGACTGTGGCTCAAATGATGAACTCCTCATTGCCAAATTCAGACTGAAATTGAAGAAAGTAGGGAAAACCACTAGACCATTCAGGTATGACATAAATTAAATCCCTTATGATTTTACAGTGGAAGTGAGAAATAGATTCAAGGGATTAGATCTGATAGAGTGCCTGAAGAACTCTGAAGTTCGTGACATTGAATAGGAGGCAGTGATCAAGACCATCCCCAAGAGAAAGAAATGCAAAATGTCAAAATGGTTGTCTGAAGAGGCCTTACAAATAGCTGTGAAAAGAAGAGAAGCGAAAAGGCAAAGGAGAAAAGGAAAGACGTATCCATTTGAATACAGAGTTCCAAAGAATAGCAAGGAGAGATAAGAAAGCCTTCCTCAGTGATCAATGCAAACAAATAGAGGAAAACTATAGAATGGGAAAGACTAGAGATCTTTTCAAGAATATTTGAGATACCAAGGGAACATTTCATGCAAAGATGGGCACAATAAAGGACAGAAATGGTATGGACCTAACAGAAGCAGAAGATATTAAGAAGAGGTGGCAAGAATACACAAAGAACTGTACAAAAAAGATCTTCATGACCCAGATAATCATGGTGGCCTGATCACTCACCTAGAGCCAGACATCCTGGAATGTGAAGTCAAGTAGGCCTTAGGAAGCATCATTATGAACAAAGTTAGTGGAGGTGATTGCATTCCAGTTGAGCTATTTTAAACCCTAAAAGATGATGCTGTGAAAGTGCTGCACTCAATATGTCAGCAAATTTGGAAAACTCAGCAGTGGCCACAGGACTGGAAAAGGTCAGTTTTCATTCCAATATCAAAGAAAGGCAATGCCAAAGAATGCTCAAACTACCTCACAATTGCACTCATCTAACACGCTAACAAAGTAATGCTCAAAATTCTCCAGGCCAGGCTTCAACAACATGTGAACCAAAAACTTCCAGATGTTCCAGCTGGATTTAGAAAAGGCAGAGGAGCCAGAGATCAAATTGCCAACATTCGCTGGATCATTGAAAAGCAAGAGAGTTCCAGAAAAACATCTCCTTCTGCTTTATTGACTATGCCAAAGCCTTTGACTGTGTGGATCACAACAAACTGAGGAAAATTCTGAAAGAGATGGGAATACCAGACCACCTGATCTGCTTCCTGAGAAATCTGTACGCAGGTCAAGAAGCAACAGTTAGAACTGGACATGGAACAACAGACTGGTTCCAAAGGAGTACATCAGGGCTGTATACTGTCACCCTGGTTATTTAACTTATATGCAGAGTATATCATGAGAAATGCTGGGCTGGAGGAAGCACAAGCTGGAATCAAGATTGCTGGGAGAAATATTAATAACCTCAGATATGCAGATGACACCACCCTTATGGCAGAAAGCGAATAAGAACTAAAGAGCCTCTTGATGAAAGTGAAAGAGGAGAGTGAAAAAGTTGGCTTAAAACTCAACATTCAGAAAACTAAGATCATGGCATCTGGTCCCATCACTTCATGGCAAATAGATGGGGAAACAATGGAAACAGTGACAGACTTTACTTTGGGGAGCTCCAAAATCACTGCAGGTGGTGACTGCTGCCATGAAATTAAAAGACGCTTGCTCCTTGGAAGAAAAGTTATGACCAACGTAGGCAGCATATTAAAAAGCATAGACATTACTTTGCCAACAAAGGTCCATCTGGTCAAAGCTACGGTTTTTCCAGCAGTCATATATGGATGTGAGAGTTGGACTATAAAGAAAGCTGAGTGCCAAAGAACTGATGCTTTTAAACTGTGGTGTTGGAGAAGACTCTTGAGAGTGCCTTGGACTGCAAGGAGATCCAACAAGTCCATCTTAAAGGAAATCAGTCCTGAATTTTTATTGGAAGGACTGATTTTGAAGCTGAAACTCCAATACTTTGGCCACCTGATGCAAAGAACTGACTCACTGGAAAAGACCCTGAAGCTGGGAAAGATTGAGGGATGGAGGAGAAGGGTATGACAGAGGATGAGATGGTTGGATGGCATCACCAACTCAATGGACACAAGTTTGAGGAAGCTCCAGGAATTGGTGATGGACAGGGAAGCCTGGCGTGCTGTAGTCCATGGGGCTGCAAAGAGTCAGACAGGATTGAGTGACTGAATTGAACTGAACTGAATCATTCAGTTCCGGACCGTGCAGAAGCGTGCCAGCTGCGACGGACCACACAGAAGCATGGCCGTGAGGAGCTACGCCTCGCCCAAGGTCGAGGCGGTGACTGAGAGCACCAGGCTGCAACGGCACAGGAGCGGCTGAGAGGAGCTACCCCACGCCCGAGGTCAGGGGAGGTGGCCGAGAGGAGCTACCCCACGTCCAAGGTCAGGAGGGACAGCCATGAGGAGATACTCCTCGTTCAAAGTCAGGAGCAGCGGCTGCGCTTTGCTGGAGCAGCCGTGAAGAGATACCCCATGTCCAAGGCGAGAGAAACCCAAGTAAGACAGTAGGTGCTGTGAGAGGGCATCAGAGGGCAGACAGGCTGAAACCACAATCACAGAAAACTAGCCAGTCTGATCACAGGACCACAGCCTTATCTAACTCAGTGAAACTAAGCCATGCCGCGTGGGGCCGCCTAAGACAGATGGGTCATGGTGGAGAGGCCTGACAGAATGTGGTCCACTGGAGAAGGGAATGGCAAACCACTTCAGTATTTTTGCCATGAAACCCCATGAACAGTATGAAAAGGCAAAATGATAGGACACTGAAAGAGGAACTCCCCAGGTCGGTAGGTGTCCAATATGCTACTGCAGATCAGTGGAGAAATAACTCCAGAAAGAATGAAGGGATGGAGCCAAAGCCAAAACAATACCCAGTTGTGGATGTGACTGGTGATAGAAGCAAGGTCTGATGCTGTAAAGAGCAATATTGCATAGGAACCTGGAATGTTAGGTCCATGAATCAAGGCAAATTGGAAGTGGTCAAACAGGAGATGGCAAGAGTGAACATTGACATTTTAGGAATCAGCGAACTAAAATGGACTGGAATGGGTGAATTTAACTCATGACCGTTGTATCTACTACTGTGGGCAGGAATCCCTTAGAAGAAATGGAGGAGCCATCATGGTCAACAAAAGAGTCCGAAATGCAGTACTTGGATGCAATCTCAAAAATGACAGAATGATCTCTGTTCATTTCCAAGGCAAACCATTCAATATCATGGTAATCCAAGCCTATGCCCCAACCAGTGACGCTGAAGAAGCTGAAGTTGAACGGTTCTATGAAGACCTACAAGACCTTCTAGAACTAACACCCCAAAAAGATGTCCTTTTCATTATAGGGGACTGGAATGTAAAAGTAGGAAGTTGAGAAACACCTAGAGTAACAGGCAAATTTGGCCTTGGAGTACAGAATGAAGCAGGGCAAAGGCTAATAGAGTTCTGCCAAGAGAACACACTGGTCATAGCAAACACCCTCTTCCAACAACACAAGAGAAGACTCTACACATGGACATCACCAGGTGGTCAACACCGAAATCAGATTGACTATATTCTTTGCAGCCAAAGATGGAGAAGCTCTGTACAGTCAGCAAAAACAAGACCAGGAGCTGACTGTGGCTCAGATCATGAACTCCTTATTGCCAAATTCAGACTTAAATTGAAGAAAGTAGGGAAAACCACTAGACCATTCAGGTATGACCTAAATCAAATCCCTTATGACTATACAGTGGAACTGAATCATTAGGGAAATGCAAACCAATGAGGTATCACCTCATATCTGTTAGAATGGCTTTTATCAAAAAGAGAAGAGATAAATGTGGGTGAGATGTAGACTATATCCCTCGCGCTTGACCTTGTCCAAAGAACAGACAGATGAATGAATCAACGACTGAAGGTCAGTAGAGGGAAATGAAAGACACTAAGGGTTTACTTCGGGCTTCCCTGAAAGCTCAGTTGGTAGAGAATCCGTCTGCAATGCAGGAGACCCCAGTTCGACTCCTGGGTTGGGAAGATCCGCTGGAGAAGTGATTGGCTACCCACTCCAGTATTCTTGGGCTTCCCTTGTGGCTCAGCTGGTAAAGAATCTGCCTGCAATGTGAGAGACCGGGGCTTGATCTCTGGGTTGGGAAGATCCCCTGGAGAAGGGAAAGGCTACCCACTCCAGTATTCTGGCCTGAAGAATTCCATGGACTGTATATATGGGGTCACAAAGAGTCGGACACGACTGAGTGATTTTCACTTTCACTAAGGGTTTACTTCAGTACAAATAATGAGAAAATAAGAGTGAGAGAAAGTTAAAAAAAAACAAACAGCAAAATAAAAAGGCCAAAGAAAGTCCTTGAATGGTTTATAAGGCCTCTTTCAAAGTCTAGATTTATCTAAAAGTAGGTCTGACTCCTCTTTGTGACCCCATGGACTGAAGCCAAAAGGTTCTTCTGTCCAAGAATACTAGAGTGGGTTGTCATTTCCTTCTCCAGGGGATCTTCCTGAGTCAGGGATTGAACCTGGGTCTCCCACATTGCAGGCAGACTCTTTAACAACTAAGCCACCAAGGAAGACCTAGGGAATAGAGGTCAAGTATTCAGATAGACTCTCGCATAACTGAAAGATAAAAGCTAAAAATAGTGTCTTTCCCCAGCAGAGAGAACCTGTAGACGGATGACAAAGCCTTGAGTGTGGCAAGCTAAACAAAGGCTCCAGTAGCTCAGATCTCAGGGGAAGGGAGCCTGGAACACAGAGGTGTTCACATGAGTCAGAATAAAATTAACTTCAGGGGGAAAGCAGACTCTAGGAAGGACTAAGAATTCACCTACTCACTCCCTGAACTGAGTTCAAATTTAGGTCCCTTTCTTCAATACCAAAGTAAAGTTTATTGTTGCTGTTTCTGTTCAACTCAGTTATGTAACATCTTGTCCAATGGTTCCCATCCATCTACAAATGTCTCACATGGTCTAGACGGTCCCCACTCCACAACTCACTCACTCCTGAGAACATCAAGGACTTTTCCTGAGCTCCCTTCCACCACAATCACAGGAAAGAAAGCTGAGGGTTCCAGAAGCACTGACAGCTGGCCCCACCGAGCCCGACCCTCTTACCAGCTGGTACTGGCGGCTGTACAAGTCATGGCAGTTGTTGAAGATGTACTCATATGTTGAGTTCAAACAGGCCTTCACACAATCTTTTACTACCTGGCTGGCTCTTGGAGGGCTCTGAAGTTCTTGCACCTGCCAATTAATTCAACAAAATATGGGTCCAGGGTCCTGCTGACCTGAGTGAGATCTCTTCCTGGAAGTGCCCCCAAACTATCCCAGATTCCTTCATCTTTCTTGAGGTCCCTGGGCCTTGCCCTGAGATGAAACTGTCAGGACAGCTGACGGAGAGAACTACCTAGTCCATCCTTCTTGATCCATGATCTTCTTGGAAGTAACTCAGGAACAGATGTATGGAAATATGGGCTTAGAGGTGATGGATCCTATAGCCTTAGACTATACTCAATGATTCTTAGCTTCCATGTCCCTGGGGCCAGGTCCCCGGCCTAGCACCACCCAGCCCAAATTCATCTCTTACCTTCATTCGGAAGAAAGTAATGCTGGTCAGCAAATCCACTGTGGACTTTAAGTCCTGAAGTCGCTCAGGGCTCCCAGCAGGGAAATTATTCTGTTGCAAATCAAGCAAATGTAAGAGAGGAACAGAAGAACATGAAAGCCTTCCCTGCCAAAAGCAAGAGATCAGAAGCTTCCCAAGGACCACCCACAGGGATCTTTCCTAGTGAAGCAGAACAAAAATGCTGTAAGAGTACATGTCTCTCTCTCTTCTCCGTGGACTCAGGCCCTTGCCCAAAGCAGGTGTTAATAACCCCAGGCCCAGAAACCAACACGTCCTACCCCCAACTCTACTTCCCATGCAACATGTGAGTATTTGCACAAATAAACATACAGACATTCACACACACACACACACACACACACACACACTTTTTTCTTGGGTGAAGAGTCTTACACCCAAACAGTGAGTTCTTCAGAAGTTACAATCTAACTGTATATCATGGAATATAAGTGGAGCCACACTACAGAAAAGACTGGGATCCAGGACGTATACTTTCTGTACAGTGGATCCTGGGTACTCTACCATTCTGGAGCCAGCAGATGGCAAAGCTCTGAGCAGAACTGCGTTTGGAGTGAGTTCCTTAGGATCTTTCTTTCCTTTGGCATGAGTTTCAGGGAAAGGCTGCCAAGCAGAGCTTAAGGAAGATGCTGCACCACTCTCCATTTTAAGGGTTGCTTTTTTTAAACCTTCAAAGGGCTACTTATATGCCAAATACAAGATATACAGTCAACTCTCCATTATTCGTGCAAATGGAGGGCGCTGAAGGTGCAGATAATTAAAATTGCACTTCTTGACTTTGAGGTTGTTTTATACTTACTTTTTAATGTGGGTATATTGCCTGTTCTGGAAATTCACAACACTTTAAAGCAAGTAATGAAGTCATTCTAAGAAGGCCTAACTTAGGAAGAACAAAAAAACCTGCCCATTTCCCTGTCCTGATCTAGACACTCACCTCCCTGCTACATCTCTGTCCTCCCTCCATTCTAGAAACGGACATATCTGCTACAAATTACTGGCCCAAGCCAAGCTACTGTCTCTTCCCTTAGCCAGATTCACACACCTTGCCTGGAAAATGAGGAGAATGTAGGAAGACACAGCAAGAAAACGTAACTATCTATGTTTTAAAGGGCATTTCTGGAAGAGATTATCCTCAGGAGACTCCCTGATGGGAATGTCATCAGAGAGTTTGGTAGGGTGACATGTGTGGGGTTAGAAAGCCAACTATCTATAAAGAGCAACTACACCTGCTACTGTTTTAAACACTGTATCGTCCCTGGAGTTAGAAGACCCACAGGTGTCAGTGATGTTGGCCATACTCAGATGTGATGAAAAGGACTAATTTTCCTTGCCTTCAATTTTTATAGTTGTGATTGGCCCATAGTCTCTCTAGACTGATCTTGATATTATGCTTCGTCCCACCCCACAGCCATGTCTTCACTCACCCTGTAGGTGGAGAGGTCAATCCTCAGTGAATTGTGCAGCTGGTCCAGGAGTTTCACAAATCTCTCTTTCTGAGGGTGGTAAACAAATAACGGAGAAGAAAAAAGGTCAGTTCCTGAGCCCTCAGACTGTAGCAAAAAGAGAACCATCTCGGGGTGAGGAGAAAACTCTGAGTTGGGGACACATCAGGTCTCGTATTTACCAAAGAGAACAACAAACCACGCGAAGGAGAAATGATGTCATTCGCGTTCCATCTCTTAGCACTCACACTGGGGCCTCTTCCCACACTGGCAAGATGAGATATGTTTCTGGGACTAGAAACAGCATTTTATTAAAATCAAGAGGAGATGACCAGTGTATCTCCATCCCGCTGGGACTCTAACTCATCTCAGTCAGACAAAAGGAAACTCCAGACACAGTCTCCACCTTATTCCTGAGTCTGTGGTGTTCTAACTTATCTTGGGATAGCTCATAACAGTGAAACAGCCATAGGCTGGCAGTGATGAGGGGAGAGAGAAATAGTGATACGTTTGGAAGGTGATCAGTGATACATCTAAAAGGTGGAACCACATTGCATATCATTTCCCTTAGTTTATACATTTAAAATGTCAAAATAAATGACAAATACTATTTGATAGTTTATTTTTAGAAAAGTATAATTAAATATGGAACATGTTCCTGTAGGCTATTTGTATAGCAGAACTAGAACTCACATATTGATAATATTATATAGCATTAGATATTAAGCAAATAGATACTGTGAAGAGACAGAAAGGAACAGATATCTGACTGACTTAGTCAATGACACTAATTCCTCTACAGAAAGACTATCAACATCAAAAAACTGATTACTACCAAGGAAAAGCACTCAGAGACCAGAGATACTGATTTGGGAGTATCAGTAATTTTGTCTCTAAACAGTAGTCTTTGTGGTGGATTAGAAATATTCCATCCAGTTTATACTGAACTTCCATCAGGTGACATTACGTGCAATGATTCAACTTCTCAAATATCTTAACAACAGGAAAGGGTATACCCTGGGTCAGGAAAACAGTCCAGACACTAAGAAAGGGTTAAATTCAGGTATGTACTGGTATTCTTGCTTAGACGTCAGACTCATATGAACTTAAGTGGTACAAATCTGTCAGAGAGAGACTGAATAATAAGAAGGTTCCTTTGTGAACCTGCGGGGCTGAAGAACATGGTGACTCGACCAAGTTTTTGGCCCAGAGAGGTTCTCCTTAAGCCCAGGTTGTGCCCCTACCAAACCACCATGGTGCTATTCCACCTTTTCTCATTTATCCATATCTGAGGAGAGTCTACTAGTATAGACTAAATACCCATAAGGAAACAAGTTCACTATCTAGGTGGCACTATATATTTGAATTTTTAGGCATATCAGCTCTGCAGTACCAATTGAAAAATCAAACTCTTGTTAATTGATAACAATCAGGTAACATGTCTTAACATCACACTCACCCCAAAGTTGGAGGCTGCAAAACGATCAGATGCAGAGACATTGGTGGAGGCAGTTGTGTGGGCATAGTAGGCATTGATGTTGGCCAGTAAGGTGCTCATCACTGCTGGCACACCAGGACACATGTACTTGGAGGACAAACATGCAAAATGCCTGAAAAACAGCATCTTCAGCCTCAAAGACTCTTCAGGGTTTGTGGCAAAAGCCAAGTAATCAAAAGATCCCATTCTTGTGTATGAAGCTTATGATCACCTTGGCAGACAAAGATTTTCATAATTTATTTATTCAAATATACATTCACTGAACATCTACTATGTGCCAGGCCCTACGCTAAGTGCCAGAATCCAAAGAGATGATAGCCTGGCAAGTGTCAGAAAGTAAGTCAGTAACTTAAGGCATGCTATGCAAAAATTCTCTGGGAACATACAGGAAGGTCATCTAAATTAGAATGGCTGGGGGCTAGAACAGACTAGAAAAAAGGCTTCTCAAAGAAGAGATGGTTGAAACAAGTCTTAAAAGATAGTAAGAATTAATCATTGGAGAAGTATGCAGGCAAAGGGAAACTATTTTAAAAACAAACCTCTTCATGAAGAGAGTCATTCATTTGGGAAACCTTCCTTCCTTATAGCCATCGTTCAAGCATTTGATAGACAAACACTAAGGAAGGACGGAGGAGCAGCAGGGAACAGACAGTAAAAAGGGTTTGTCCCAGATGCTACAGGGCTTTTTTTTTTTTTGCTACAGGGCTTTTAAACAAAGGTTTACTGTGATCAGATTAGTTTTTCAAAAAGGCCACTTTGATGGTAAAAATCAGAAAAGAAAACTTGGACTAAGACAGAAAGACCAATTGGAGAGTTATGGCACTCACTCAGAAAAGAAGCAACAAGGTACCCAGTGGATCAGAGAAATGGTTAAGAAGAGCACAGACCCAAGACCCAAACTCTAGAGTTGAGTCACAGCTCCACCACTCAGGGACCTTAGATAAATTACTTCAACTTTTTTATGCCTGTTTTTTATCTACAAAATGGAAATAATAATGACCTGGGGATGAAATGAGTTAACATTCATAAATTACTTAAACCAGTGCCTGGCACGTAAGGAAATGGTATATAGAAGTTGTTGTTACTATCATTATTACTGAGCTATAGCAATACAGATAGGTTAAAAACATTTCTAGGAGGTAGAATCTAGAGGTTTTAGAGACTGATTGCATGGTGGTAGTAAGACAAAAAAGTTTAGGCTGACATCTGAATTTCTGTTTGGATAACTGGGTAATAAACTGTTCCATTTACGAAAATAGGAAATACAGGAAGAACAGGAACAGGTTTGCTAGAGATAATGTTGATTTGGATTTTGATTATATTGAGTTGCACATGCACCAGTTTTCCTCACAGGCTTCCCCTAAAATTCAGATGCTCTCATAATACACTGTGATTACGTCTCGATAGCACTTATCACATTAAAATGCAACTGTTTGGTTACTGGGCTGTCTCTCCTGCTACACCAAGTTCCCCAAACACAGAGGCCCCCTTATTCACCTTCATGTTCTCAGCATGTGGTGCAACATGTGACACATACAAAGAACTAAGTCAAACTAAATAAAAGCTGCACAGCCAGGGCACTAGCTACCTTCTGCTCACCCAGGGCTGTTTCCCGTGCAGAGCTCTAGTGACAGCCCCTCCAACACACAGCCTGTACCTCTTCTCATAGCAGGTGGGGATTTCTGTCACAGCACGTGTACCCTGTACGCCCAGGCCTGTGATGACTGGGCAAACCTGTTCTTGTACACACACCCATGCCCTGGGAATTCTGGGGTAGACAGACAACTCCCCTCTCCCCGAGTTACTGATAAACACACTCCCTTCACACATATACTCTCTCTGCCTTGGGGTACAGATCTACCTCTCCCAGCTCAGAGAGGGAAAGAATGAATCACTGCATACTACCCAACTAGGGATCTGTCTGCTCCATCAGTGTACCTCCACTAGCTATTTCAAGAGTTAGCAGCCATTTCCCAGGGCCCCAGGGGAGCCTTACGTCATGGCCTGATATATGGACTCAATGCCATAGCGCATGGCAAATTCATCCACAATTTCCTGGGCAGTCTCATCAAAGTACACCTTCCACGCATCATCTCCTCGAGCCTCAGGGATCTGGACTGCTCCACTGCCCTGAATGTCCGTGAGGTAATGGAAGAGGTTCTATAGGAGACACAGTAAAATATATATTGGTATTAAAGAGTTAAACTATGTATTAGGAAAAAACCCTGCTGGTAAAGACCAGGAGAGTGTGAATAGGGCTCAACAGAAATTCTGTCCTTCAAGTCACTGCTCAGTAACTGCTATGGCCCCAGCAGTCTGTTCTCACGTTAGTAAAAGAGAACTGGGGCTGGGACTGTTTCTTGGGCTGTCCGCCACAGCACAGTGAGCCAAGGATAAAATAAAAGTGGGCTCCAGAACTTCAAGTAGCTAGCCATCCTACTTATTGTCAAAGGCACCTCCCAACCTAGCTTTCCGGCACCCCATCTCCCAAGAGCTGGCTCACCTCATGGAGACACGTATACTGCACATGATATGGGGCTACCTTCTCCTCCCCCTTGATCTCCACGCTGATTTGCAGTCGGATGGCCCCTGAGACGGCTGACTTGTCTGTCCTCTTCTCTAGGAAGGAAAGAAGACTGGAGATTGACAACCATGCAACTGCAGACAGCACAGACAGCTCCCATCCTGGCTTAACCCAAAGGAAAGGAGGCCCTGACAGAAGTGTTCACCAAACAGGCGAACTCACTGCAGTGACCATATGCTTCACAAACACCCCAAAACTGGCTGGGCGGGAGAAAAGAAGTGCCCAGTGGGCTAAAGGCACGAGGGGTGAGATCTCAGTTTCTGAAAGCTGGAAAAAAATGTTCAGCTAGAGTGTGCCCCAGACACCCCCAGTCCTCCGTCCCCATCTCTATCTGTGGTGGGTTCTCTGCTGGGAAAGCAAGCTCTGTGTGGAGATGTATATGCTCTGGGGCCTGAGTGGTGGACTCGGTAGACAGGGTTTTCCCCAGGCTCCCCAGTCATGCTCTCCCTTCCCAGAAGCTTTCTCTGGTCCTGCTTCCTCACCCAAGTTGTACCAGACGTCCATTTCGCCACTCAGCGTTCGAACCTCAATGATGGTTTGGCCGAGGAAATCGTCAGACTCTCGCTTTAGCCGCTGCTTTACTCGTGACTTGATGTCGTCATCCTCATCCCACACACGTACCTTAATGCGGTCGGAAGAGTTGTGGCACTCACTGCAAGAGTCAGGCAGGTTCTGTTACGGACGGACCGGCAGCCCTCTCTCTCGTGACTCCCGCTTCCTTCCCAAGGCTCTACCAGCTGCCCTTGGGGCTGACAGAGAGGGAGTCAGAGGGCACTGGTACTCCAGTCCCCAGTGAGTCAGGCTGTCTGAGCAAACGGCTCTCCACTCCTTAGCCCGGGTAGCTCTCTCCAAACTGTTGTCCAGTCCTGACTGCGCTGGTCAAAAGCGGGGAGGAGAGGAGTAATCTGGGATAATTTTGATTTCCTGCCAGCTAGCTATATCAACGAAACCAACAGAAAACAGCCTGACAGACGCCGCAGAACCCTAGGAAGCAGTTGGTAGTTCCCTCCCCAGAGTCCTATATGAAGTCCATAAAGATGTTAAATGTTCTTGGTAAGCCCATCTGGTCATATTTGCTTTGGTTTTCTACCTAACATCCCCATATATCTGGGAATGTGCTTGGTGAACTTCTCCCATTCTCCTTTTTTTTCTTTTAATCATTCTTTAATATCCACTTGCCTTGTCATTTTCTCTATGGTGCTTGCTTTGGAGGGGTAGTTTGCCAGGTACCTCCCTCACACTCTCCATCCCCAGCAGTTGCTTTTTGGATCCCTGTTGCCTTATCTAAAAGTTGTACTTGGCAGAGTTTGCTGCTCCTTACCCTATGTTCTCATAATGTCTTTGCATATTCTGTTAAAATATTATAGGATAACTACTGGTCTACTGAAAAATAACAGAAAATCATCAATAAGCCTCGTAAAGCCAGGCACTGTCTTACACATTTTTAGATATACAATACCATGTAGAGTGTCTTATACAGAATACAAGTGTGTGTTAGTCACTCAGTCATGTCCAGCTCTTTGCAACCCCATGGACTGTAGCCCACCAGACTCCTCTGTCCATGGAATTCTCCAGGCAAGAATATTGGAGTGGGTAGCCATTCCCCTTCCAGGGGATCTTCCCAACCCAGGGATTGAACCTGGGTCTCCCAGACTGCAGGCAGATTCTTTACCATCTGAGCCACCAGGGAAGCCCATACAGAATACAAATTGCTTACTAAACAAAAAGTGGGCAAAACTGACTATAGAGCCAATTCATTTGAATTAACCATAAGTATCACTTCTCGGGCTTTTGTCAAGATCAAGACTAGAATTAACCATAAATAATATTCAAGCAGGAACCAGTCAGCTTCTTGAAAAACAGGTGCTCCCCTCAGTAACTATCGTTTCTGGACTGGAGATTGTGTTTATAGGCCCCAATCCCTTTTCCCAATCTCCTTCCAAGGAGCCAAGAGCAGAAGGTCTCTACATAAGCTGTCTGTTTGGCTGATTCAGACTCAAAGTCCTGGTCCTAGGCATTAATGGGGGTGTGATAAAGCATCTGGATTCACCAGACACCAGTCCAGGTTCTAGGCTACAGCTTGCCATTTTTCAGCGGCCATCCCTTGCTGTCATATGAAATAGTCTGTACAAAAGTGAGATACTGAATAGAGAAGGGAGGGGAAGCTGAGGCAGAAAGAAAAGCAGAGCCCTTCAGGGAAATGGAAAATTCTAAGGTTTCTATCTTCAAGTCACAATTATCCACTTGTAGGACAAGCTGTTCCTGCCCCACTCCCTAGAAGAGACTAACTCTTCCTAGGGGTTAGGAAAATGAAAAGTCTAACATTACAGGATGGCAGGGCTGGAAGGCACATAGTTGCATGGCAGTCTCTGGCTCTGTCACTCACCTGTAGTAAAATCTTGCTAGCACTAGAAAAAGAAGTATGCAGGGGCCCCTTTAGTAGCCTGAGTTAAGACTTGAGTGCAGTAACCCTGATACAACAGTCTATGAGAAGAGACCTAGGAAAAGAATAAATGCTAGCCAATTAAAGTAAGTGAGAAATGGGTTTTCTCAATTGCCTCTACCCCATCTCTCTTAGAGTCCAAGTCCAGAACAACAGGATTTAATGCTGTTCCCAAAATATACACAGTCCCAGGAAAGACAGAGCCCACTATGACTTACAAATGGAACTTCTCCTCCCAAACAGGATTCAGGTTTCCAAAAATGGTCTTGGTACGCTTCTTGGTTTTGCCCACTTGCACAGTCACATAAGGGTCACTGGATCCTGTCTTGTCCTTGGCTTGCAGGCCCTGGGCACACACCACTACAACCCAGACACACACAGAAGGAGGCTTCAGAGTACACTCCGGAAGTCATGAGCCTGCCAAAGTACGACTCATACTTCCCATCTTAGAGCACCCTCTATCTGCTCCTTGCACAGGAGCAGATTTCCTCACTCCTCCACTTTTATTCTTAGCCCTAAGCCTTTCCCTCAAAGCCTAGCCCAAGAATCCTACCTCTTCCCTGCACCCTAACTGACCACTTACCCAGACAGGTCCTTACCTGTTCTGATACATGCATGCTTCAGTCATATGTACCCAACTAATAAATCACTGGTTAACTACTCCCTAATCTCCTGCCTGTTCCCTTTCCCCCAGTCTCCCAGCTCTTACAACATCAAACTGTTAATCAAGTCTGTAATATCAGATTGTTACTAAATCCTTGCATTATCATTCAGATTGCGAGTGTCAGTCTTGCCTCTCCCAGCACCACTGGCATTGGAGTCTAGAAGAGGAGGAGTGATGAATAATGAGGGCTTCATTCTGTGTTCTTTCCCCCCAGTCCCTGCTTCCTCAAGCTCAGGATGCTTTCCCCCCCAGGCTCCTCCCCATAGCCGAGGCCCTCCTGTCCCCTCAAACTCTGGCTTGCTCACCAGTGATGGTGATTTTGGCTGACCATTTGGAGGTGCCATCCAACACACTCTGCTTCACTGTTTTCATTTGTTGCGCATGCGCGACTTTGCTCACGTTGAAGACATCCCGGATAACTTCAAAGATCTCTGGCTTATTCCGCTCTCGGATTTTCATTCGGTCCTTCATGGCCATGATGATGTTCTGGGTCCGGTCCTCTGCTCCATGTTTAGAGCTCTTTTCTGCAGCCCCTGAAGAGTGGCCACAGACAGAAAGTAGGGTAACCAACAGGTCACCTACCAGATCAAGGATCAGACTGCAGAATGGGGCTTAGGAGATGTCACTGAGCAGTGACAGAAGCTTAGGAAGACTGATATATCTCTGGGGAAAGCTGGTATCTGTGGGGCCTGCTAGAGTTTAATGCCTGGCCAGTGGAGTTTAAAAGGCAACTCAAAGAGTAGCAAAAAGTTGATCATTGTTATATGTTAATCATATAACTACTATGTTATATTAGTCCATTCTACTTAGAAACATATTGAATTTTTCATCAGAAAAGAAAAAAAAATGTAGCTCAGTCTACAGTTGGTTTTGTCTTTCTTCCATCCACACGCTTGTTGAGAGATACCCTCCAAGTCTAAGGCCAAAATATCAAAATGGGTATCTCAGTTATCAGGGAGTGGTTGTGGATAGGCACAATTCCACCAAACTCATCCAAATGCCAAGTCATGATACAGATCTCAGAATTCATCATAGCATGTAGCTGGGCACATCCTCCCCTGTGGCTCCAGTGGCTCAAATCAAGACATTGTGATATGGTAAGAAAATTAAGGCTTTGTTATCTGACACAGACCTGGGTTCCAATCCTGACTCTACTACTCCCTGCTGGGTAAATATGTTTCTTCTATGAGAAGAAAGTGGCACTTATCTCTCAAGATTTGTAGTAAGCATTTCATCAACATAAAGCATCCAGCCCAGTGCCTGCCATCTGACACTGGGCTATCTGCTTTATTTAATGAGTAATAAACACTCTATTATTATTACCATCAGTATTATCCCAGCAAGGCCAAGGGCCATTTTTACCAGCCATGACCCCAGCCAGCTCATCTCTGCTGTCCTAAGGATGATTAGGGAGGAACAGAGATTTCCTCCAGCGTATTTCACCAACCAGGTTTCTCAGGCAAAGGACCCATTCTTTATTGGCAGACTGGCTCTTAACTTCTCTCCAGTCTCCAAAGGCTCAGGCCTTAACGACAAAACTTGGCGCATAGAAGAAAGGTCAACATTCACATCCTAATCCTGGGAGGATGGAAAGCAGATTTTCCGACTAGGGACATATACAGAAGGGCATTTAATTCCACTCTGTACTTCACAGAAGACTTAGATAAATGAAAAGTGACTTGGGCTGCATCTACTCTTGCATTTAGCACAACCCACGCAACGCTATTTCCCTGGGTGGGGACCTCAGAAAGGCTCCTAAAGAGAAGATAAGACAGCCTGGCTGTTAGAGAGCACCATCTAGAGGCTCCCAGCAAGCAGCCTCTGCAGCCAGCTGCCAGTTCTCCCAACTGAGGCAGGGCGCTGCTGGCACCTGTCCTGCCACCCCGCACGGCGGGTCTGGGCAGAGTCATCGCCAGCACCCAGCTCTTCCGCTGTGTTCGGCCTGTCGCTTCCTGTCCACTGCAGCCACGTCACTGGCATCGGTCTAGGGTTCTTCAGAGAATGACATTTCAAGTCAACAATTCCTGAGGCCCCTTTAGGTCTCATATCTTTCCCTGGGATAATGAAGTGCTTGCGAGTCTAAAGGTGACCTTCCTTTCTCCTACTGTAATTGAAGCTTTCATTGCTGTAGCATGGCAACGAGGAACACCTGAAGACCTGGAGGGCTGAGAGAATACTTCCCACACCCCCAGCCCTGCTCCCCCCAGGGTCTAACCACAGCAGTGCACGCCGAGCAGGGGTGGAGCAAGGAGAGAAGAACTCGGAGCGCCACCACCTCTTGTGCCAAGACTTGCTGCTTTCCCTGCTCCTGTTCTCCCCACTCAGATGGTGGCACAAGGCACATGTTTAGCAAGGGCCTTGGGAGTCACACATTCTCCTTCTGGACCTCTGCCTCATCCATTTGAAGATTCTGTTCTTGGTACTGATGTCTAAAAGCTCCATCTAGAAGCAAGGAGTAAATTCCACCTTCCCTGAGTCTTCCCTAGTCTCCCTTAGGAGGTCTAGACCTCAGGAGGCTCCTCTCTGAGGCCTAGAACCCCAGAACTCTCTCTTCCTATTAGTTCTGGTCCCTGATTACACATGCTCTAGTCTTTTGGGCAAAACAGCCATCGTGGTGTGTACAATACCCAGTAGAGCCTCTGGGATCACCTGAATCCCGGAAGAGATTCTAGCTCCATCCAAGGGCCATAGGAAACTCAATGAATTTTTCCTAAAGGTGTTTAAGCGAGTGTTACGAGACCTGTTATTTGGAAAGACAGTGTCTCCTGACTTGGGAACCTACTTTCTCTAAAAAGGACAGCGCGTCAGAGTCAGGTACAGTGGAGGGACGATGGCTCAGCCATCCTGGTCCCCTGCTGCCGGCTATGCTGAGAGGCCCTGCTGCCCACAGCCCCTCCCTCCTGTCACCCCACAGGCCACTCACGCTGCAGGCAGTCGGCACTGAGCAGGTCCTGGCACTTTTCGTGGCACTTGACTCCACACTCGCTGCAGCGCATGCCCTGCCGGGCGATGCCCCAGAGCAGGCCTTCACACTCGTAGCAGTAGGTGGGGGTGGTGGCGGACCAGACCTCAAAGTGGTGGGGTGTGGTGCACGAGATGGGGTAGATTAAGGCCTGCAGGGTTTTCTTATACACATGGGATTTCTGAAAAACACATATCCCATCACCCACCGTGACTTTAGTTCTCTGCTGAGAGATACCACTACTAAGCCCAGTGCAGGGCTATCAACACCTCTGGCAGTCAAGGAGATGCTTCAGCCTGGCCCGGCCCACATTCCAGCCTGGCAGGAAAAAACCCCCAACATCATGTGCTCCTGGTCATCCAAGGAGCACATCCATGACCTGAATGCTGGGTTTAAGCCTTGCCCCAGCAGTCAGGGTTTTTAGGGAAACAGAAGGTACTGGGCTCACCATAAATCCCTGACATGAGTGGTCACATACTCACACTCCAACATGAGATTCAGGTTTACCCCTGGTCTGGACCCTTGCTTCTCCCAGTGTGGAAAACTTGATGCTATAATATCTATCTGTTTCATTAACAGAGTCCGCCCCAAACTTCTGAACTCCCAGTGTATGGCCACAGAGATGATCACTGGGCCATAGGCCAGTGGGCTCATGAAAGCCCATGGGTCACTTACCAGCTCTTCATCCTTGAGAGAGGTGCGTGTAGCCAATGCAGAAGTAATGCCTGCTTTCCGGGACTGGACCAGTGACTGTGAGAGAAGACTCACTGTCAGCCCTGGCTACTACCAAGGGCTGGGCAAAGTCCTGGGGAGGGAGTTCCAGGGACCAAAGCTACACTACTTTCTATTTTTGCTGTGATTCACAGGGGCCTCTCCACAGGTGATGGGTAACAAACACCTGAGGTTAAGATACAAACTCAAGGCCTTCAGGGAACTGTCCTAACAATGATAGAACAGCACTTCTCTCGGGGTACCTGTCATCCAAAGGGTTTCTCTTTCCTTCAATATTTTTAGGTATCTGACCCCATAGAAACCCCTTGTTTAAAGGAAGGCACAGGAAAATGAAAAGTCTAGAATTGCAGTATGAAACAGGTCATTAAGAACAGGACAGACACAAAACTCTGTCAGAGTCACATTCAAGAACCACCACTGGGAACAATGATGCTATACTAAATCCTCCAGTCCTGGGCACCACCCCATGCCCACACAATCCCAGGTGGCTGTGGAAGCCAACAGCCCAAATGAGCAGGGCACTGAGTAAAAGGGGGCAATGAAGCCTCGCTGAAATCAAGCAGGGCAGGGGGTTAAACATGAGATCTAGGACGCCCTGCTAGAAAGGCCCATGAATCTGCCAAGCCCAGGCTTTAGGGACAGCCTCCGAGAGGCACATGGTTTCCCTAAGGCAGTGGATACCAGGCAGACAGAAGTCATTATATCAGCCTGAGCAGCAAGAATAGTTGGGATGTGCCCAGGCAGGTTGAGATTTGAGCTTTTACAAAAGATGGAAACGGGCTCTGGAGACACTCACCATAGCCTGTGCAGAGGAGAGCAAAAAAAGGAACAACATGATGTTAAAGCCCCACAAGGGCATGAAAGCTTTCAGACACAACTGAGAGGTTCTTCCCTGAAGTCCAAAAGCAGGAAACATGTCCCAACCCCCTCTGTCTCTATCCTCGATCCACTGTATCCAAACCAGACAGCTGCCCAGGGCCCAAGGCCTAGAAGGAGAGTCACGCCATAAAGTGAAATATGGACAAGGTTAAAAGACAGAAGAGGGGAAACAAGAAATGACTAGGATACTGCCACCCACTCGGTTAAGCAAAATAAAACTGGTGAGCAAGGAGGGAGAAGGTGAGAAAAAGCAGGAAGAAAAGAAAGAAAGAAGAGAAAAAAGAGGAGATGAGAGACAATGAAAGAAGGTAACAAAGAAGAGTTGACATCATCTTCAACCAGCCAGCTGGATGAAGCGTTGGTGGGATAAGAGGTGTACCAGGAAGGAGGAGACAGGGAAAGACATATCAATAGCAGGGGGAAAGGGAAGGAAAGAAACAAACGATGAAGAGAAAATGGCAAAGGACACTCGTATTCAGTTAGTTAAGTAGGGAGAAACTGGTAGGGAAAAAAGAGCACAATATGGAGGAAAAACAAAAAAAGGAGTGGACAAAAAATATCAAATAGACTGAATAGGGAGAAAAAACAAGGAGTAGGAAATGGTAATAAGAAAAACGGTTCAAGTCTTATTGAACATCTGACTCTGGGACTCCAGGGTACCTGGGTGCCACGCTAACCCCAGTGAGATCATACGAGGTCCTACTGAAGCCATCACTAAGTCTCAGAGGGGCTTTAAATGACTGGCCATCAGACTAACACCTGTCGCTGAAGGCCCCACGTCCATTCCCGACAGCTCACCGAGACCACTCACTCACCAGGTCGCTGACAAGCGGCAGGGCCTTCTTCCTGCGTAGATCCGGCATGCTGTCAATGCCATAGAGCCCTCCGGCTGGCCTGAGGAGAGAAGGACCTGCGTCAGGACTTCCAGTCTGCCCTTGAGTTACTGGCAGGCTCAATGTGCCGTCTCCTTGCTCATCCTCTCCGCAGGGAAGGCTGAACTGACCCTCAACATGGGCCTTTAAGAGGAGAAAAGAGGACAGAAAGCGAAGGAAATAAAGCCACGGGATGACAAACAATGGAATCTGCTCTCAGAGTCTCCTTTTAAGGTTTTAACCAAGGACTGAAAGCTCTTTTATCACACTATGCCAGTCCAAGGTGCCTTTGTTTATTTGAAGACACCTGTGCTCCATAAAAGGTGGGAACTGATGCTTAAGATAGCTTCTCCCTACACTCAGGTCAGAGACACTGATGCCTAAAGATGAGTCTTTTCTGACCTGTGCTAGAACAGAGCCCACAGGAATAGCTCTACAGAAGAGCTGCTGCCTCCGTGAGCAAGGCTGACAAACAACAGCATGCAGAAGCAGACCTCCTCCAGCCTGAGGAAGAGTCCCCAGTTTGGTCTATCCGAGCCTCCGGAAGAAAAAGAGTCTCTATGGGAAGAGGAGCCTGCATAATCAAATGGAGGCAGGGGAAGTAGATGGGAGACTTCCCAAAGATCATTTAGAGGGGAAAAAGACCATTTAAGAAGGAAATAGCAAAGTGACTCAGAGTGTGGCCTAGCCCTATGCTCACATCAACAGAAACCAGGAAAAAAATTACAGCTGGAGCAACTGAAAGTGAAGTGAAAGTTCAGTCACCTAGTCATGTCTAACTCTTTGCAACCCCGTGGACTGTAGCCCGCCAGGCTCCCATGTCCATGGGATTCTCCAGGCAAGAATACTGGAGTGGGTTGCCATGCCCTCCTCCAGGGGATCTTCCCCAGTCAGGGATCAAACCTGGGTCTACAGCATTGAAGGCGGATTCTTTACCATCGGAACCACTGGGGAAGCCTATGAACAACTTGAGATTTCTAAAACTCTTATACTTTTTTAATACTTATTAACTTTGCTGTTCTTTGCCTGTTATTCCATATAACAATACACAATAAAAATACAGAGAATTTCCTAAAAAGAATATCATTCTTACATTGAGACAATCTGGATTTTATCCCCAACTCTTCTACTAATTCACTACATATCCTCTGCCAAAATTCCTTCCTCTCTCTGGATCTTGGTGTCACTTCCATAAAATGAGAGGAACTATAAAAACCTCTCTGACCTTTTGGAAAGTATCCTTCTGAGCTTCAATTAAATTCACTCAGGTATTTGGTTTTCAGGTAAGCAATGAGGCAGGGAAAGAAGGGTGGCTGGGTTATACACCACAGCTGGTGTGAAAAGAGGAATATCACAGAAGAATAAGTATGTACTGCTAGCTATATGGGCAAAAATAGAGCCACAAATTAGGTCAAGGCCAGGAGTTGGAGCAGGCAACCCTATATACTGATTTCTAATCATCTAGCTTCCATGAATATGGGCAGTGAGCTCTGTTCTCAATGAGGCCACCACACCTATGAAAGTTCGAAACTTGTGACAGTTTCTAAGGACTAAGCTGAAGGAAGGGAAAGATGACAACAGGGAGACATTTAGAAAATCCCTGCCTGGCTCCATTTAAAAATAGCCTGGTTATGTTGCGTTGGTATGTATGAAGTTTAAAATTATTTGAAGAAAAATGCTAAAGCCCTGAAGAAGGGCTGTTGAAGAAGCAACTGATGCCACGAGTTTGTGGCTAATTCTGAAAACTAATAAAATGTATACCTTAAGCCAAGAAGTGTTTTTTTTTTTTGGCAACACAAATGAGCTTTTGACAAAAGAAGAGTGGCTCATTCACATGATTAACTCTTGCTATAAAAAAGACACATTGCAAGAAAAAGGAGCATTTAAAAATATAGTTAATAACGTTCTGATCTAATCTTTTTTCTTCCCTGGTGATGAGGAAGAGGAGGCAGCCACTGAGAGCTTCGACGTCAGGAGGACTTTGAGGGGCAAGGAGAGAAGGAAGCGCCTGGGGTCCTGAGACCTCTATGTGGAGGGCAGAGGGCGCGTGCGCACTTAGACGCTTTCCTCCCTTAATAACAGTGAGCCATCGCAGCTGAGCAATTCAAAACCATTCTCCGCTGCAATCACGTGGGTCTGAAACTCCCAGACAAGGAACACAGACAGAACATACTGAGCTCGTAAGGGTCCTCACTAGAGTAGGGTGGAGTGAGGAAGTGACTCACAGCAGCTGAGGCCAGCGGCAAGCTAAGCAGCTACACTGTCAACAGTGGGAGAGAAGGAAACCAGTTCTAAATGCAGATCTTTTTCTAGTTTTCCCGTCCTTATACATAAAGGGCATACCATCACTATGATGCAATACAGCAGAAGTTCCAGAAGGAAGGATGGGGAGCCCCAAAGTTCCCTCCCCTGCTTCAGGGGAACCATTTTGCAAAGCTCTCTCTTCTGTCTCTGGGGAATCAGTTTGCAGAGTCCTCTCCTCTGCCCCACAGGAACAACCGTCTCGACAGTGGAACATCTTCCTTCTCCAGAGTCCAGCTGATGAAGCTGTTTCTCCTGCTTCCCAAGGGAAAAGCTAAAGCAGCATAAGAGAGACTGTAAGGTTCACAGAAACCTTGAGGAGCCACACTTACCCTTCTGGAAGCCACTGGGGCAAACGGGGATCACCATCATCTGGAATCTTTAAAGAGAGAAAGAGAGAGAAGTTAGCTCCTGGGAAAGATGGGAGAGTGCCCTAGTTCTTTGGTCAGGCAGTGAGCAGTAAAGTAGGAAGCTCAGAGCAGCACAGGTCACACATACCATGTGAGGACATAGCCAGCCTGAGGTGTAAGCCAGCTCCCTGATCAGCCAGGGCCACAAGCAGGCAGCTGGAATGAGCGGTACTTCATCTACCTTCTCCCCAGTGAACACAGAGGATACAAGCTCACAGAGAACCCAGGACCAAGATCCACTGGGAGTGTGAGAGCTGCCAGAACGGAGAGCCCCCTCACACATCCGCTGGTATCGAACAGTAAGCATGGGCCAAGAGAGTGCCCATGTAGGCGTCCAGGCCTCACTAAAGCAAAAGGACAACTTCATATAGAGTCCAGTCTTCCAGCTATATTTTTAAGTTCTGCTGGCTGCCCTAGAGTCAGACCTGGTCTTTCTGGATTCCTGTGTCATGTTGTGATTTGCTTGGCCTAGGATCCTTGAAGCTATAACTCATCGACACTGAGTACGCTCTACATTTGATAAGCTTGATATAACAAAAGAATCCAGGGCAGATTAGATACTTGGATTACCATTTTTGCCAATTTTATGAACTCTACAATAAGAAGCTAAAAACTGAAGCACCAAATAATTCAAGCAAGGAACTGTTGGAAAACACTTTTTAAAGCTTTTTGTTAAAAAAAAAAAAAGAAAGAAAAAAATCTGAAGCAAATCCTTCAGGCAGAGTACAGAGTGCCAAGGCTGCCAGGGCTCTCGAGGACCAATGGCAGCTGCTATTTAAGCCCAACAGACTTAGTGCTGGCGGGCCTGGGGCTTGCTGTCCCTCCTTGTTCCCTCCACCCCCAGTGACTTCCCTGACTCCTGGGATCTGGACTCCAGCTAGCCGTCCTGAGCAAAGGAGCTCCAGATCAAGGGAGGCAGCGGTAAGCTCTTAGGCTCTGGATAGGGGGTGAAGTTTTGGGAGGGTTAAAGATGGGAGGAGTTATAGACAAAATGAGGCAAGAGAGTGAAAAAGAGAGGCAGGACAAGCTAATCGGTGATGGAAAAGTGGGTAAGAGTGACCCGTGACCTGGGACCAGCCGGAAGCTCAAGATGCACTCTGGATTTAAGATCCTTCTCAGGTTGCCTGTGCTCTAGTCAAGCCTATCTGCCTGCTGCCTGAGGCCCTTCATGACCACACCTTGCTGCTTCTGCCTCCTTCCCTGGTTCTATCAGTGGGATGATTCGGTAGAGGGAGGGCCAGGCCCAAAAGGCAGTCAGAAGGTTGAATCAAGTCTCCTAAGGTTCCTGTGAGGGGCAGTCCATCCCATCCCTAAATCCCCAGATCCCACCAACCAGAACTTATCCTCCCTTTAGAAACAGTCACTGCACTGAGCAGATTTTTACTTCCTACCTAGAATTAGGTGGTTGCCAGAAGCCACTGGGCTTAAGGAAACAAAATCACAACACATCTTTGGCAGTCAGGGTTCATAGGCTCAGATCATACACATTTCCTGTGCTCAGAGCGGGCAGTGGGTCTGCAGAAGCCTGCAGACACAGTGCAGAGCATGCACAGACGGCACAGAAGGAGGGCGGGGGGATGAGAGCAGGTCTCAACAAAGTGCCTGTAGGAGGTACATTCGTAGACACGACTTGCACCTGAGGACCCACAGGTGAGCACGGATCCTGTACACAGAGATACAGAGCGTGTGCACACCCATCTGGGGGAGGACTCGGTGTTCACCAGGGCTCAAATCACCGGCAAAGCACACCCTTAGCACCTTGAGGAACCAGTGTTTGTAGGCACATTCTCATTGTGTGGGGAAACCACACCACAGGTCTGCAGACCCTTGTGCTCAGAGAGCAGCCAGGAAGCCTGCTCAGAAGCACCGAGCACTTTCACATTTAAGCCCCAAGCAAGAGGCACAAAAAGCCCACAAAAACTCCTGCTCTCAAATACAATGTGTGTACGCATGCTGGGCTCAGCGAGGGTTCACAGCATATGCCAGTCGGCAGCCACGAGTAGAACACGGATACACGTTGTGCAAAGTAGGAAAAGAAGAAGGCAGTCAGTACCCAGGGGGGTCAAGCTGAGCACAAGGGGAAGCACACGCATGCTGCACTGAACGTGTGCCACGCAGGCACGCACATCCTCGCAAGGCTCCACGGGCGTCTGCAGGAGCACACACAGGCACGGAGCATGCACACAAACACACTGGCTGCATGAGCCGCAGCTCATGGGCACGCATGCGTGCACGCACACACATACACACACTGTACTCAGGAGGGAGGGGACAGAACCAACAACAAAGGGGCCCCAAAGGGCCAGAGCACAACCTGAAGGGCTCCTCGCTTTCCTTCTGCAAGGAGAGAAAGAGCAGGAAAAAAGGGCAGAGAGGTTAGTAGATTCACCCTAACCCAGGCAGAGCTAAACGCGCGGGACCTGGAGGAGAGCCCGGAGAAGCCCTCTGAACGGCGGGGCAGTGCACAGAGCCTGGCTCCCGGAATCCTCACCTCCTGTGTTCGCTGCCCCTGCTTTTTAGTTCAGAACCCGGGTTTGGCTACAAAAACCAAAGGACTGCGCCGGCCTGGGAATTTCAGCCACCCTTTCCCCCCTTTCCAAAGTGGTCTGCATGCAGAGTCAGGGCCACTGGGGCCACGAGACCGGCTGTGCTACCAAGGGCCACTCCCACAGGCCGTCGGAACTGACTGAACACAGAGCAGGCTCCTTTCTCGGAAGCTACACGAGCTCATCCGAATCTGGGGGAAGTCTGCAAACCCCAAAGGCCAGGTAGCGGAGTCCTCTCCCTTTTCTAACACAGGCTGGCTATGTGTTTTGCTCCACAAGCCTTGGCCTATTTTCCCAGAGCCTAAGTTAACTTAGGCCAAGTTAAGGCCTAGAAGTAAGGCCAGGACCTGGAGGGTCAGTGGCCATAGATTTGGAGGCACCGAGTCCTTATCATAAGTCACTATGATCTGAACGATAAAACCACGGCTGCAATCCCAGGTTTGATTATCTACCGAATTTAGAACAATACGTCAAAAGAAACTGACACTTCCAGAAGGACCCAAGCAAACCACAGGAGAGGAAGAATAAAGTCCAGAAACTACTCCTTTCCTATTTGCCAGATGCTACATTGCCTTCTAGGCCATACTTGCTTGACTGAGGCTTCCTTCTCTAAGCAAACTTCATTATCTGGGCCCATTAGCCTCTCTTTTCTTTTTTTTTCCCATCCCTTTGAATAAAGAATCACTGATGTTACATAACAAGTAGAAGGGAGAACTAATAAGTTCCCAATTTTTCAAGCTATTTCTGATTACCTAATGGGTCACCTGACTTGACAGAAGGGATTCAGGAATAGGAATCTTCCAAAACAGTGCAGAAAAGTGGGTGAGATTAAAAAAATATTTCTGGGAGAGGGAACGGTCTCTTCTACTACATCTACTCCCTACTTCCTGAGAACACTCTGTTCCCTTTGAAAGAGCAAGCTAGGCAACGAACACTAACTGACCCCGTGATTCAAGCTGAAAAGGTTTCTCTCTTCCTCCACTATCTCAAATATATTGTACACATCGTGTCAAAGTTACTTCAGTTGTGTCCTTCCTATTCTTCCCAGAGTTCCCCATGATGCCTAAAGAAGAAAAGTCAATATATCGTCAAGGCTCTCCATGTCCTGGCCTCTTGCATTGATTGGGTGAACTCAGACTTCTTAAAAACTTAGATCAAATATTAATGTCTCTGAAAATGTATCTGCCTTCCTCTCAAAAACAGAATTAGGTGCTTCTCTACTACGCATCGTGGTACCCACGCGTTTGTATACACACTTCTATACAGTTTGTTCTCAGTATGTTTCATTGTTAATTGTCTGTATAAATGTCTCTCTTTACATATTGTGAATTTCTCGAGAGCAAGAATTACATATATATATTTTATTTCACCTTTGTAGTCTGAGGGTTTAGCACATCTAGTGTTTTTATGTAGTAAAAGGAACTTGAAATTTCAGGACTTAGAAAACAACAGCCTTTCTAAGGACATGTGTCTTGCCTAAGAGAAAAGATAGGCCTCAGCCTGTATCATTTTCCAGACCCCCAAGAACCACTGTATTAGTCCCTTCAGTATCCCAACCACTGGCCAAACATTTTCTTATTAATAACTTAAAAAAATCTTGTTAGGAATCAAACACTCTGTGCCTCCTAACTTCTTAAAATGCCTTAGGATTTTTCCACTCAGATTTAGTTTTCAATTTAAGTGATACATGTCTATATAACACCTGCTTTGCAGGAAAATTCCTGATCCCTAAGAATAATCTCACTCTTCCAGACAGTCCATCTGATGAGGAAGAGACACACTTCCTCACTGTTACAACAACCTTAACTCCATTACTTAGGAGTCAAAGATTTGAGGCACTCAACTTACCTGAGCCTGCATTTCCTTATCTTTAAAAAGAACATAAGACTAGCGATTGCCCAGAGTTATTGTGAGGATTCATTGTTTTTAAAAATTTTTATTTATTTATTTTTTTTATGCTTGATACACTTGATATATATTTGTTATATTTTCAAAGGTATATGGATACAGTTATGTAGTTAGTTATTCAATATGTTGCCTGTATTTTCTGTCTCTTCTTTTTTTTTTTCCATTTATTTTTATTAGTTGGAAGCTAATTACTTTACATCATTGCAGTGGTTTTTGTTATACATTGAAATGAATCAGCCATGGATTTACATGTATTCCCCATCCCGGTCCCCCCTCCCACCTCCCTCTCCACCCCATCCCTCTGGGTCTTCCCAGTACACCAGGCCCGAGCACTTGTCTCATGCACCCAACCTGGGCTGGTGATCTGTTTCACCCTAGATAATATACATGTTTCGATGCTGTTCTCTTGAAACATCCCACCCTTGCCTAAAATTTTTTATTTATTTTTAATTGGAAGATAACTGCTTTACAATGTTGCATTGGTTGCTGCCACACATCAGCATGAGTCAGCCATG